TTTTTTTTTCTTTCATTATTAGTGAAAGGATTTGAAGTTTTGAAGAAAGCCTGGAATTTTAGTCAACTCTATGTTGTGTTTTGAATCGTGTATTACATTATTTATTCCAGTGAGAGCTTCAGAAAGCTGTGAGGGAGAGCTTCTTGCTTGGCACAACTCTTCCCCCAAGCCTAACACTACCATAGCTTCTCCTTCGCAATCCAAAATATTACGACTGTTTAGCTTGAGCTGTTTGTAGCCCCCTTTTAGGACTATCAAATCATATAATAAGCTTTCATCCTTTCTGAATCCTGGATTTTCTTCTCCTTTAAATTGGCTGCTCTTGGGCTGGAATCTAAGAGCTCCACTTATTACGGCCTGCAAGTCTGAAAGGTGCCTGGCATTGTGAGGCTAAGCACCACCCAACACTCATGTAACCTTGATGTCTATAGCCAAATCATGGTATAGCCACTTTTATATATGAAAAAAGAAAAGAAAATTTATTACTTTTATGGTTATTGTGTATGGTTAAGTTTATTTAATCTACTTACCTGTCATCAAAGTTTGATTAGAACAATTTTTTTGCTTTATAATGATACGTATGATTAGCATTTCCAAAGTGGCAATTGCTCTATCCTACACATTTGGGCGAAGCGGAGTGCTTTTTAGTGCTTCACCTTGTTTTGCAAGCATTCGCTTGGGTGTGCTTTTAATAACATTGATATGAAACAATTTGAGTATTAAGATATTATTTATTTGCCATTTTATCAGATGAATTATACGCAAATACTGTCAAGGAAATTATCAAATGGAGGGATCTTCTTAAGCATTACCTTAAAACCTTAGATGAAGAGGTATGCCTTCATAGTATACTTTTTGGTCATTTTTTGTACAATTTATCAGTTGTTGTCCTATAGTTCTTACGTTTCAGTTTGCACACTTTTTGCAGTTGAGTGATGCTATAATCTTATTTTTCTTTAATGTTGGTTGCAAGCTGATATTTATTTTTCAAGTGTTCTTTATCTATATTACAAAAACAACAAGCCTTTCTCCCACTAAGTGGGGTCGGCTACATGAATCCTTTTTCTCTATCGTGTCATATTGAGTGTCATATTTTCATTTAATTCTAATAAATTAAGATCATTTTTTTTATAATAAGCCAAAGTTTTTTTAGGTCTACCTCTTCCTTTCTTAATATAAGTTGAATCTAAAACATCTACTCTCATAACTAGATCATCAGATGGTTGACGTTTGATGTGACCAAATCATCTTAGGCGACTTTCTCTTATCTTGTTCACCACAGGAATACTTCTCCTTTGCTACCCCTTTCATGGATACATTTGGTTCACATTGTCTCTATGTGTAAAGTATTCTCATCTCAACAACACTTAATTAGTTCTATGTTTCTCTTTTATAGGCCAACATTCTGCGTCATAAAGCATTGCCGGTCTCACCACCATCTTAGAAAATTTCCAGCAACTCTAAACAATACTTTTTTATCAAGCAATAAACCCGATGCATTCCTCCACTTCAACCATCCAACTTGAATTCTACTAATAACATCCCCATCCATATCACCATCGCTTTGAAAAATAGGCCCGAGATATATAAAACATTCACTCGTTTTAATGACTTGATCACCCATTATTACATCCCCGCCACTAGATCTACTATTACTAAAATTACATTCAATGTATTCAGTTTTAAATTTACTCAAACAAAAGATTTTAGACTCTAAAGCTAACCTCTATAATCCAAATTTTTCCTGAACTCTTTTTGTAATCTTATCCAGAAGATGGATATCATCAGTGAAAATCATACACCATGATACATACTCTCGTAAATACTAGTAAGAACATTCATAACTAAAGCAAACATATATGAGCTTAAAGTCGATCCCTCATGTAATCCAATTGAAATTGAGAAATACTTGGTCAGTCCTCATGCTCTTCGAACACAAACAACTTCTCTAGTATACCTATCTTTAATGACCAGAATATAAGTCATATCAAGACATTTCTTTTTTATAACTCTCTAAAGAACATGTCTTGGAATCTTATGATAAGTTTTTTTCTAAATCAACAAAATCATATTTAGATTCTCTTTACTCTCTCTGTGCTTTTGGATCACGCTTCTCAATAAATATATAGCTTCTATAGTAAACTTGCGTGACGTAAATTCAAATTGATTTTAAGAAATCTTTTATCACGTATTAACCTATTTTCAAATACCCTTCATTCTTAAAAATAAGGACCAAAATACTCTTTCTCCACCCGAAACTTGCTATTTACGAATCAACTACCCTCTTTCATTCATTTTTCAAACTCTCACTCAATTATCTACATTAATGGTAAAACCCCAACTTGTGTTTTTCATTTTTATCATATTCTTGGTAGTTTGATCGTGGCACACGTAAATCATCGGTTCAGTTGTTCAAAAAAAATCACCTGGCTACTTAATTTGTAAATATTATGGCTGTCAATTTGGCTCGTTGTTCGTGAACAGCTCGTGTTCGGCTCGTTAAGCAGCTCGTGTTCGACTCGTTCTTTAACCCAAACGAGCCGAACACGAACAAATTTTTAAGCTCGAAATGTAGACGAACCGAACACGAACAATAATTTGCTCGCTCGTGTTCGGCTCGAAATGGCTCGAAAAAAATTATATAACTCTTTATATAACAATATATTACATATATTATTTATATAATAATATATTATATATATTTATGTCTAAATTTAAATCATAACACCCTATGTGGCAATGTGGTTAGTGTCTTCTTTTGTATAGATTTGATCCAGGTTCAAATCTCACACTTTACATCTATTTTTCTCAGTTTTAATTTATCGAGCCAATTTCGAGCCGAACACGAACTGAACACGAACACGAATATTTAAATTGAGCCAAACACAAACACACTGTTCACAAGCCGATTTCGAACACGAGCTATTTCGAACTAGTCGAACACGAGCCAAGCCTGAGCTCGCTCAAGCTCGGCTCATTTACAGCCCTAGTTTTATCAATGTTTTGGGTGGTCTGTATGTAATATTTCCTTTAAAATAATGATAAAAATATTATTAGCACAAAGAATACCTAAATCTTCTAAAGATTTTCATTCTATTGAGATACCACGAGTTACTATTGATTTTTCCCTCTTCATTTTTCTTCAAAACCCACAATTTTTGTTTTATTAATGTGACGATAAAAATAAAATACTTTCCTGTTATTAACGATATTAAAGTTCCCAAAGTCGATCGTTTTTTAAAAATTTTTATTGAAAAGTTTATTGAATATCCTCATATGGGAAAAATATTTTTTGATTTTCATCCTTAATACACTTGAATTAAATGTTTATTTTTTCTTTTTCTTTGTTTGATTAATTTATACATATATTTTTCACTTTATTTAATATATAATCTATTATAAATATCACTATAAACATAATTTTTTGTATAACAAATCACTCTCATAGTCTCCTTAAGGGCAATCTTATATTTTTTCTTAATTGTTTAAACTTTTACATCTAAAATAATTTTTATAACAAAATTTTTTATATTTCATATTTGTTTGCACATTATTATTCAACCACCAAATATTTTTATTTATAAGAATTTTTTTTTTTGGTTCTTTAAATGCATCTTTTGCAATTTGAGTTGTTGTGCTCGTTATTTTATCCCACATAATATCAATTTCTTCATGAACCTTCAAAATATTAAAATCTTGAAGTTTACTCCTAAAAATAATTTTATTGGTCTTTTTAAGCGCCTGCATATAATTTTATGACAAGATTGTGTTGTATTTTTCATCTTCTAACTTGTTATCCTAAAATCCAAAACCAATGATCTATGTTGAGTACTTAAATTGTCATCTTCAATTTTTAAAGTCCCGATGATTTCTTTTTCTCATTAGAAAATAAGTAATTTGCGTTTTATTGTATTTTTTCTTATAAGTGAATATGATCATCTATTTTTTTACATAAAGTATCAACATTAACACAAATCATAAGCTAAAATAATATTCAAAATGACTACTTTTTTTCATTAATAATTCCAAATTCATAGGTGCTATGAATATTTCTAAAATATTATATAACTTTACCAACATGTCGATCCAAGTCATCTCTAATAAAATTATTTCTTCAAAAGTTATCATTTGTATTAATTCTTCTAGGTCAAAAATTTTTCTTTTGAACATATATCTAAACTTAACTGAGGAGCATAAATACATATAAAATTTAAAATCTTACTATCAACAACCATTTTTAGGGTTATAGTTGTATCTCTAATTTTATTAATTTTTACAACATTATATTTCAAAATCTTTTCTATATTTATACCCATGTCTGCCATTTCTCATACGGCTCCTATTTGAATACTAAAGTTTAAAACCTAGATAATCAATTTCCTTAGTCTTTTCTCCAACACATTTAGCTTTTTATAAGATATTTATTTTCTTATGAATCATAATATTTATTGATTCTAATAAGTTACCTTTGAAAGTGTCTATATTCTAAGTTCTTATTCTAATATTAATTTATTCAACTAACTTCTTTACTCACATCGGTTCATAATATGCGAATCTTTGCTTATTTAAAACTATACCCGCGTCAGTGCAACGACTATTGCATACTTTTTACTTTATTCATGTCATACATTTTTTTTACTTCAAAGGGGCACCCTAGTATTTACACAATGATTTGAAGAATTTATGTCTTGATTTTTTGATAAAAGATTTTACGTTGGCAGTTGACGGCCTAATACAATCTCCACTTTTCACATCCGAGACTTGGGACCTAGCAAAGATATTGTTAAATATCTTTGATGGTAAACTATAGCAACTGGGACTTGTAATATTATATCTTTGATGGTCAAATAAATATTGTATTGCATAAAATATTTTGTCTCCTTTGAAGTTTTAAATATTTAAACCATACTCACACTGCTACATACCTTGTGGTATCAAGTTTTTGTTAGAGAAATTCTCCCAATCATGGTTATTATCTCGCACTTAGGCACGAATGTGTTGTTTATGGGTTTTTGTAATCGCTGAGTTGGAATAAAGCTCGAGCAAGTGGACTTAATATTAATTTATATGCCTTGTAACTACATATTCTCTTTGACGCGAGAGCGTCCCTCTAGGCTGGGACGCATGAGTGGGACATGATTTTCCAATCCCGAGATTCCTGTAGTGGAAAATTTTCTCTGCTGTTATGGGATTTCCTTCAATTTTTGAATTAGAATTTGGGTTTAATTGATGCCTTGGTTTAAGTATGTTGCTTAGAACTTGGTTTAAAGACTTATGCTCTGCTATATTTTAATTTGAGATTTTGTTTCTCTATTTTCTTTTCTTTGATGAGCTACCTTCTATTTTACTTTCAGAGTGGTGAATGTGTATCTTGAAGAGAACATGTGGTGAATCGTCTTTCAGCAGCCGCACCTCGCTTGAAATCGTTTTTTCGTTGTCCTCCCTGCTATTTTCAGCCCATATAGCCGCTTGACCCCTTTTATTCCCTTTCAAACTCCGCCAACTTATCATATCCTTTTTTTTCTCTTGCTGCTCTGCAACCTCTTCCCACTAAATCAAATTCTTACTATCTTTTAGGAATCTTCAAACGGTGTTATTTGGTATAAGAGAGGCAATCCTAACCGTAGTTTCAATTTTTAATCATAACCCTAATTTTAATTCCTAACCCAAATCCTAAGCCTTTAAAATCTAACTTTCTACATCCACCAAAAATCAGTCCCTACAACTAACACCTAAAACCAAACCCAATAACTGAAACCATAAATGGAAGAAATTGTACACTATGTCGTCAAGGAGAAAGATGCAAAAAGGTATCCTGGAGCTTACAAATGAG